TCTGACTGCAAAAGATAGTGGAAATCTATTTCCTCCTCTTCGGCTCTAGTTGTTGAATGATAGCGGTATTCACATGACTTTATTTTATGGGTATGATATTATCCTTTCATTGACATATTGTCTTTCTGTCTAGCGGTATTCACATGACTTTACTTAATGGGTATGATATTATCCTGTCATTGACATATTGTCTTTCAAGACAGATCTACAAACGACTTTTTTAACTATGAAAGCAACCTCATTTTTCTCACCTTTTTATCTCCAGCAAAGTAGATCATATGATCATCTGACTCAAAGTGCCCCATGCCAGTGCATCTCATCGCACCAATACCAGTATGTCAATATTTATGCATTCCATTTCTTCCTTAACAATATCTAATTTTCCTACATTCCTGGTTCTCACATTCCATGTTCCAATCACTAGTGTCTGCTTACAACTGTTCCTCCTCCATACTTGAGGGCTTAGCCTCATTTGCCATGTCTGCTAGTCTAAGTGTGCTCTGTTTTACATAGGGTTTTCAAAGGCTTGCTACTTTGGGAGTGGATGGCCAATCCTTCTTCCTAGTCTTTCTTATTCTGAATGTTCAGATTCAGAGGATTATCTGACAGACAAGCATTTTATGGAAAAGAGCAGATGAAAGATATTGCCTCAATTGTAGAAATAACCAGTGGTTTCAGTGTTATCCTCACCTTGACTAGTGTGTCTTGACCCACCCTTTTCCCTGCTCCACCAGCATTCCCTTCTACTCCCACCTACTCCCTTAAACACCTATCTCCCGCTATCCAGCCCTAGATATGATAGCTTATATCTCAAGTGTTCTGGGCTTCTGTGATTCCAAAAGTCTCAAGCTGCTGCCATTTTCTCATGCTGTGGCCATTCTCTTTTGATTTTAGGAGTCTGTAAGTTGAAATACCAGGTACTAATGTTAGGGAAAGTTTTCTATCTTGGGCAGTTCTGAGGAAAAGTCCTTTCCCTTGACTTTCTGCTTCTTGTGGCTTAGGGCCTCTTCTATTCCATTTGCAGCACACCATATTTCACATAATGAAGTAGCTTCCCAAGGGAGAGTGATGTGTCCTGTAGGTCTGCTATGTAGTGTTGTTTTCTTTGCCCAAGAGTCTATGGCCCGTGGGCTCCAAAGAAGTGCAGGATCCACCTTGATCTGCAGGCTTCTGGGAGATGGGGGCAAGATTCTGCTGAAGATTTTCTGAAACAACTGGAATAGCACATCAACAGAAAACTGCCAGAAGTGCAGGCTGGGTTGAGAAGAGGCCATGGTACTAGGGATATTGTATCTAATGTCAGACAGATCTTGGCTGAATGCAGGGAGTACTAGAGGAATGTTTTTTTCTGTGTTTCATTGACTATGAAAAGGTGTTTGACTATGTGGACCACAACAAACTGTGGCTAACTCTGAGAAGAATGGGAATCCCAGAACACTTGATTGTGCTTATGCAAAACCTATACTTGGACCAGGAGGCAGTTACCAGAACAGAGCAAGGAAACACTGCTTTGTTCAAAATTGGGAAGGGTGTACTCCAGGGATATGTCCTATCTCCATACTTT